CAAACAGTTTATATCAATGTTTTATAGTGTATTTTTAGATACTCAGTGAAATGTAGTCATGACTACCGTCAACCCACCTAATTTGTATGGAGACAATATTGTAACATTATATCGTGCATGCATACGTTGTGTACATTTTAGTACATAATCCGATTTAGTACTCATTGAGATTATAGGCACTGTTTCATACTATACAATTGCTTCGTCTTTAAAACCAATGTAACTAATAGAGATTAAATATTTAAAAATGCATGAATGGTGTTCAGTGCGCATTATTGTTTACAAGGATATAATCCCATTTTGGTTGGTTTAAGGCTTAATACTTAAAGGAAATAAATCTACATTTCCAAAAAATAATATGGATTCTACTCTGATTCTACTTATACCCTTGAACTCAACATCCTAGAAACGGTCTCAGCTGTGAAAGCCGTGTTTAATTGTTTCAAATGCAGCAAGGTTGAGCGCTTAAAAGTTCAGCCTCCCCCAAAAATAACTCTTAGAATGGAACGCGCGGCGGGTGGCAGGCAATCCATCAGCCTGTCACTGGACGACTCCCGTGAGACGTCTTTTTCAGATGACTGTGTTTAAGGGGTCATCTAAAACACCCGGTGCGCTTCAAATAGGTCTCCCTGTACTCCAGCTAGATTAACGTATTGACCCGGGATCTTCTTCTTTTTTACTAAAATGCAGCCCTGTATTAATTTAGAATGATCTCCGTGTAACAATCGATGCAATCCTCTTTCAGACACGCAGTTCTGTTCTTTGACTTCCAGTAACTCACCTAAACGTATGAACTGTCATGTCTTGCACAAATCCAATTGGACATTGAGAGCAAAATTTAAATTGTGTGAAGGACTGCTTTGCTACAGTATTACCCATAGAAAGTGAATGGCCATTATATAGATGATTAATAAATGTTTAGCAAGTCCCACTCTGGCATTTAGGCAAGTGTACTACTCACCAAAGTGTCTGTTAACTAGTGTGTTGTTGTGAAAGTGGAGAGACTTGTGATTTCATGGTGTGTTGTACATTAGTGCAGAAGTAAAGTGAGTGATATTGGGATGTGTGTGTTGTGCTCCCTGAAATGGGCAGCAGTGCAGCTATAATGATGTTCACAGCAGTGTTAGGGTGTTTGGACTGCGGGGTTAAGGAGCTCTACTTTGAGAATAAGTCTCTAGCTTGTGTAGCAGTGTAGGTCAATGCTCAGAATTGTGTTGTTAGGTGGTAGAACACTATGGTAATATAAAGTTGTAGGCTTCTTGGTTAATTTCTATGACATTTTATCGAGTTCCCATGTTCCTACTTCCTGTGGTAGAGGTGAAGTGAGTAAATATCTGCAGCGTGATGGAGATGAGCTTTCAGGTTGGCATTCGTGGTATTATGAAGGCCAGCCTGCAGTAGCTGTCTGTGGCATCATGGAGTTGACCTCTCAGGCTGACATCTGAGGCATTGAGGAGGCCAGCCACCAATTGATATCTGCGGTACTATGGAGGTCAGCCTGCAGCTAATATCTGTGGTGTTCTGGAGGTGAGATTTCAGGTATATATGTCCAGTATGATGACAGGTATCCATCAGGTGTGCACAGAAGAGACAATCACGGCAGCCACTTTCACCAATACCAACACATATACAAACCAATACAAATATAAATATAAAGCACAGTATTTGGATGGTGACCACGACGATAAGTAAAAGTACAGAAAGTACTGTGTGAGCCCAAGGCAGACGTTTGGTCAGGTAGCGGAGGGTAAGTCAGGGCATGTGTCTGGCAGCTGGAGAGCAATGTCAGGGGAGTGCCAGGACACTCTACATAAATGAAGGTGGAAAGACTGTCTAAGGACAGAGTCATTAAATTCCAATGAAGTGTTGACGTGGGAATTAGACCCAGGGCTGAGGCAGGTGAGTGTGATAGAGGGTGTGGATCGGGGCGTCTGTACCCCGGACCCAGAGGGCATGGCTGTCTGCAGACTCTCGCTCCTGCCTGGAACTCAGGTACCTGAGTCTGACATGTGTGGCGTATTCGGAATATGTTTAACTGTATGAATTGAAGGCTGGTCATGTGATGCACTGGGTCACACCCCCTGGCTTTGACACTGACACTGATGGAGCATGACAGTCAGTGATGAGTTAACCTTGATATGCTGAAGTCGTGCACTGAATAAATTTTCATGTTCGTTCGTAACCTGCTATACTGTGCTTTCATTCCAATACCTACCAGTGCTGGACAAGAGTACAGCTATTTGTTTCTCAATTGACCCAATTTTGGACCCTTCCCCTGGTCTTTCCAGAGAAATTGGAAAGCTGCTGGGTTGTAGCTCTCGAGGACTGGGGTTGAGCAGACCTGCTGTAGCCAGTGAAGTGGAGTGGGAGAGCAGGAAGTGGGCTGGGAAAACAGGAAGTGGATGGGGCAGGGGTGAACACAGAAATAGCAGGGGTAGCAGTCCATTGGGAGAGGGAAGAGGGGCCAGACGAGCATGCAAAGAACAGCATCATCATCACCATCATCATAGCAATAATCAAAACAATCATAACCATAACAATATAACAATGTTTTTTTTTTATTATTATTCCTGATACTGATTCATTTGACCTTGCAAGGCCATCATGGGGAGAGACTCAAGGTGTATCGTATGAGAGCAACCAGAATAAGGGCATTGGTATCAAACAACCAGTGACCAAATGATAAAGCATCATGTTGAAATGCCGTGCTAAGGTAAGCGCACAACCATAACTGATTATAGGCTACACACACTGACCAAAATAAGAATAAAAGCAGCTCTACCTTATGCATCAGCATAGACATGATGCCAAACAATGATCCATAGCAGCATCGTTGCTTCACAGTGTGCTGACAAACACATATTGCTGCAAAACAACCTGTAACAGGATTATAACAAAGTGTTTAGCTTCACTCAGAGTGGGGAGGATCAGGCACTGAAAACCGGGTTTAAAGGAGCCAGTATATCAAGGTTTACTCACCTCAGTAGTCTTTGTACCCTCGCAAAAGAGGTGCAGATCACTAATATTGATCCAGACAGTAATGTGCATATGAGAGCAAGTACAGCGGTCAGGCTAACCCAATGAAAGTGCAATGTTATATGAGCCCTGTTACACAGCTGTAGATGTGGTAGAAGAAGGAGCAACAAGCCCAGGTAGAAGCGATAGCTGGCAGTGATGCGCTAACTAGTGTGTTTATTAGGCAGTCTCGCTTAGGCAGGAAAATGTGTCGGTTTACCTTTAAATAATAATTTAAAAAAAAACACAATAAACAAAAGGAACAATGAGTGTTAGACTGTGAGAATACTTCAAAAGGAAGCAGAGCTTGTGAGGTGATCAAATAGCCTTTCACGCAGGCAGCTCAGTCTGCATTTGCATTTATTCATTTGGCAGATGCTCTTATCCAGAGCTACTTACAAAACAAAGGTACATGAGTGCATATGAAAAGACCGCATTATAACAGCAGTACATGCAGAAAACGCCAGACCACATCTGAACTAGAGTGTCATGACACGGTGATGTGATAATAAACACAGGTACGCACACATAACAGGTGATGTGTGACCAGGGATGTAGATTCAAAAGGGGAAGAATGGCCAGGGACCCAGAGTGGAGTGGTCTGGCTGATAATTTAGGGGTGGTGTGGCTAAAATGTTATGAGAAGTGTGTGCAGTATGTTAGGGTTAGTCTGGCCGATACATAAGGAGTGGTCTGGCTGACATGTTAGGGGTGGCTGGTATTTTGGGTCTGATGGTTGCCTGTAGATACTGCAGAGCCATTTCCCTCCTTGGTAGGGTTGCACCAGAGTTTGCCTACGAATGCAAACCACAACCAGCACGCAGTGTTGGGAGTTCAGCAGAGGTAAGGTACCGTAATAGTTTGGGAGGTCTTAGAGTAGCAGCATTTTGGTTGAACATTGGGGGCCTGATTTCACAGATGTGAAATCCAGCAAGGAGAGAGTCACAGTGATTCAGGCAGCAGAAGACCACGTGCCGCACAGAGCAGCTCTGTCTCAGGCCCAGCCTCAGAGGAGTTGATTGGTCATTCATTACATTACATCACAGGCATTTAGCAGAAGCTCTCATCCAGAGCGAGTTACATCAGTTAGAGTATTTTTTTCAATGTTATCCATTTATACATCTGGATATTTACTGAATCAATTGTGGGTTAAGTACCTGGCCCAAGGGTACAACATTGCCCCAGCGGGCAATCGAACCGGCAGCCTTTAGGTTACAAGTCCTGATCCTTAACCGCTATACTACACTGCCACCCTAAAGCCACAATGGGGGGACTCGAACCTTTGTCTCCATGAAGATTACAGCTTTAATACAGCACGTTATACCGCTGGTCCACTTTAACGTCATTCAATATTTTAGCAAAGCAGGTTTGCAATTAAGACTACCTCGGGAAGGTATAAGAAATAAAAAAGAGCTTTCTGCAGTTTCAGACCAAAGGCACGGCTTGCCGGCCCTCCAAACAGGCTGTCGACAGGCAGATCTGCTGCTGCAGCTGTGCTTGCTGTGTCTGTTACAGGGCTGCGCTGTCCGCGGTGCTGAAACACTCCTCACCAGCTGTGGTACTGAAGGGACAGCGGCCCTCTGCAGCCCGGCCCAGTGCCACATTACATTACATTACAGTACTGTCCTTTAGCAGACACTCTCATCCAGAGCGACTTAAATAGGTTACACTTTTACATGTTAAGGTAGTTAACCCAGAGTTGCCTCAGTGAATATCCAGCTGTATAAATAGATAACAAAAATAAATAAATAAATAAAACTGTAGCTGATGTAAGTTGCCCTAGTTAAGAGCGTCTGCTGAATGCCAATAAGGTAATGTAATAATAACTTACACAGCTGGATATTTACTGAGGCAGTTCTGGGTTGAGTACTTTGCCCAAAGGTACAGCAGCAGTGTTGCAGCAGGGAAATGAACCTGCGGCCTTTTTGTTATAAGTCCTGCTGCTTATCACTATGCCACACTAACGCCTCTAAAATGCAAATGACTACCAGGAGTGGGGTTCAAACCCATACAGACACACATCCATTGGATCTTAAGTCCAACACCTTAACCACTCAGCCATCCTGGTGGATGCGCATTCCAGCTTATGGTGAACTATGGTATCTGAAATATCAGGAATGCATTTGTGCACATCTCGAAATGTATATAACCAATTTCAGAATAGTATACGCTATTGACATTCTTATATGTGATATTTTACGCATATTCAGTAAAGTATATTTAGATTTTATATATTCAGCATTTTACTGACAGGTATTGAAGAGTCTTAATTTACTTAAGTAATTCTAATTAATTGAATGGTACCAGTAAACCTGAAATTTGGGGACTATCACCTGTTGTCACATATACATAAAACAATTAAATATGTTCAATTATTTGAATTATACAACATGCAAAATATGTCCAGAGAGTCAGCATTTACTGGATCTCATTTGTTAATAAATACTTTTTAAAATACTTTTTTTCACCTTTTTAAAATAAACGTTGCAGTGAGTTGACAAAAAACTGTCTGGAAGTCTACTATATTGAAGTAAATACAGGCATATTCCATGTTTCAGCATATTTCCAGCAAAGGGGGTAGAGTTTTGTGCTGCGTCATCTGGAAAACTTTTATTACACAATGAATCCCAGCTCATAATGCCATTTGAGCAAAAGTGATTTTAGTGAGACTTGCACTGCAAAAAGTGGAGCTGGAGCTGGACAAAGGCAAAATAAGACCCGGCATTACAAGGCACTGTGGGATGAAGCACACACTGCTGTGCTACTGGTCACCCTCTGGGAGGCTGTAATCCAGAGTACACTAGGGGTCTGGACCACTGTCATGCAGAACAGATTAAGTTTTTATACATTTTCTCACAAAACCTTAGCCTGGATGCTCCCTCTGTTCCTTTTGAATATCTGAGCCTTGGCGTTCCTCCTGTTCATTTAGTCACAAAATCTTGCCTTAAAAGTAAAAATACTATAAAATAATGACACTATAGGATTACCTAATAAGGATTTACTTTATAGGATTACTTCATAGGACTTTGTCGCAAAATAAATAGCAAGAGGCTAAGATTTAAAATTTTGTTTAAAAGGTAATCCTATAGTATTATTTTTACAATATTTACAAAATTTTAAATCTTAACCTCCTGCTATTCATTTCGTGACAAAGTCTTAGCTTTGATGCTAACTGTAATGTGGTCTGTCCTCTCACCCAGGGAACTATGGAGAGAGCGGGATGGAGGCATTTAAGGAGCTGGCGGCACAGGAGGGACTGTGCATCGCGCACTCGGATAAGATCTACAGCAACGCCGGGGAGAAGCACTTCGACCGGCTCCTGCGCAAGCTGCGCGAGCGCCTGCCCAAGGCCCGCGTGGTGGTGTGCTTCTGCGAGGGCATGACCGTGCGCGGCCTCCTCATGGCCATGCGCAGGCTGGGCGTGGCCGGAGAGTTCCTCCTCATCGGCAGGTGGGGCGCGTTCTCTTTCTCTCTCTCCCTCTCTCTCTCTCTCTCTCTCTCTCTCTGTCCCTTTCTTTCTCTCTCTCTGTCTCTCTTTCTCTCTCTCTCTGTCTCTGTCTTTCTCTCTCTCTCTTTCTTTGTCTCTCTCTCATCTCCCTGTCTTTCTCTGTCTGTCTCTCTCTTTTTCTCTCTGTCTGTCTGTCTCTCTCTCTGTCTCTCTCTTTTTCTCTCACCCTCTGTCTTTTGCTCTCTCTCTTTCTCTCTCTCCCTCTGTCTCTCTCTCTCTCTCCCTCTGACTTTCTCTCTCTCTCTCCGTCTCTCCCTCTCTCTGTCTCACACATCCCTCAGTGTGAAACGGCCCCTCGGCCAAATTTAAGATCATTCTTTTGTCATGTTCTTCACGTATTCTGCAAAGTGTCCCTTGCGTAACGTTAATAGGTTGTTGGATGAATCATGACATGAAAAAAAGGAATGGTTGTTGAATGTATGGCAGATTGTCAGTCAAATGTATTAAAATAAGTCAAGCATGGACTCTATTGTGTATGTAAATGGTGTGCATATATTATATAGGCTCTGAAAAACCTGGCCCAGATCATAGAAATCTGTTGAGATAAACCTACCATCAAACCTGCAGAAGCAGGCTGCCTGTCTTTTTCAGGATCTCACAGTGTTTAAACATCCTAACCTAGTTTACTTAAGTGAAAATAAGAAAGCTTAATATAAATGGGGCCACAAAGTAGCATAGTGGTTAAGGAGCAGAAGTTGTAACTGAAAAGGTTACTGGTTCAATTCCCCATGGGGGCACTGCTGCTGTACCCTTGGCCAAGGTACTTAACCCACAATTGCCTCACTACATATCCAGCCGTATAAATGGATAACATTGTCAAGACCTGTAATTGATGCAAGTTGCTCTGGATAACAGTGCCTGCTAAATGCCAATAATGTAATGTAGAATGATCAAACGTAGATAACTGTATGAACTGGTGGTACAGTGAGGCTGAAAAGTGCAATATTAATCAGATCTGAGTTGAAACAAAGTTAGCACAACTGTTTTCATGTCTACAGGGAATCCATCAATAATCATATGTATGATAGCAGTGTTTGCTTATGTGTGATTGGTGCCTCGTACCATGTAATACAGAGCAGAATTTCCCAGCACCGTGTTTGCTGGTTTTTATTCCAGTCGGCAACCAAAAGCACAGCGTGAGAAGGGTCACTGGCAAAGCTCATTAAACGAGCTCTCTCTCCTAACTGCATGCATCATTATATTAGGGAGCAGGTCACGCACATCAAACACGCATTGACACACACGTGCGTGGCGCTAACACACACTCGGACACACACCTTCACGTCAAGCAGACGAGCAACTTGACCAAGATCCGTGTTTCCATAACAACAACCAGAGCAGGGATCACAATTATACGGCAGTGCCAGAAACCCGAATATTAATGAGCAATTATTTGTTTGCGCTTCTGCGACCCAAGCCGAAATGAAAAATGCATGGGGTAGATGTTTTCATCTGCCTTCTACACATGTATACATCTTCAATTCCAGCCAATCACTGACCTGCCCATTAGGGTAATGACATCGAGACTGATAGGTTCCCTTGGGTTCTTTTCCCTGTGGTTATAAAGATGGAGCAGATATTCTAATGTGTGCTCATCATTAAAGTACAGCAATAAAATGATAAAGCTGTCAATGAATATTGATTATTACTATTAGAATACATTAAATGCCCCCTGTATTTCTTAAAATGCATTGTCAGTTTGTATTTGAATATTATAAACATATATCATCTATGTGTGTATTTAGATGTGTATGAATATGTCTCATTTCCTAAAACACAGCATAAGAAATTATACAATATATAATATATTGATATAGATGCATATATAAAATATTGATATACATACATATATTTCTGATTCTGGGTTTTAGGAAATCAGTCCAGTTCTGCATCTTGTTTGTACAGACATTGTACTTTGTTTTATGTTAAATGTAGTTATTTGGCAGACGCTCTTATCAAGAGTGCGTTAGAAAGCAAAGCTGCAGGACGTGAATATGCAGTGAGTCCGAACAAAGCACTGCAGACACTGGGGCAGGCCAGTTCTTCATCTCCCCATGTCCACAGAGCCGCTGTTGTGTCTGAAGCGGCCTGCTTCACAGATCGCCCTCTCTGCAGACGTGTCTGCAGGGCAGACTCCATCTGAGGGGCAGTCAGTAAAACTCTGCCCTCGCAGAGGATGGGGTGCAGACCTGTAGCTTTTCAGTGTTTTTTTAGCAATCCTGTTTTCATTTTTGCGAAACCCCGGAGGAAATCAGTGGAATCTGGGTCAGCCTTGAGTGGCCACCCTTCATCTTTTGTTCCTTGCTGCTTGTGTCTTTTTTTCACAGGCAGAATAAAAAATTTGTCCTCCCTGATAATTGGGTGCAGACCATATCAGCCTGTTTAGGATTTCATATTGTTAAAAAATGCATTTCCCTTCCAAATATGGAAAATTATATAGTCAGACTCCTTTTTCTCATTTACACATATGTCTCAGTCAAACTCTTCTTTCATATTTACACATACCTCTCAGTCAAACTCTTTCTTCATATTTACATGTATCATTCAGTGAAATGGTGATGGTCCTTACAGTCAGAGCTTCCATCGAAAGCAGAAATGCAGAAATTAAGGCTGCTGAACTGGGTTGATGTCCCCATTTTGCAATGCTGCCAACATGTCAGTGTAAGACATACAGTAAGAACCTGCAAGACAGCACTGAATGTCTCTGCAAAGGACGTGGCTTCTAGAGACATGGAATGGAGACACTCCAGAGACCACGCATGCTGGATGGAAAAGGGCTGGAGAGTCCATGTTAAAAAATATCATGCTGTGAGGCTTCATGCGCAGTCAGTCTAATGTTCAAAGATACATCACTTCGGTTCTAAGCAGGCACTGTTATCCAGGTTGGTTTACAGTCTTGCATCTTGAGCATCCAGCAGTACATTCTTACAGCTGGGATTTTTTTTTTTACATTGAAGAAACAACGCAAAGCATCTTGCTCAGTGGTAGAGCGTCAGCGCCGGACTCAAGATTCAAACCCGCAACCCTCAGGCGCAGGCTCCAATCCCACCGGCCTAACGAGCAGGCCACCTCGATTAGGGTTTACAGCACCCCCCCCCCCTCCCCGTTCCTTGTTCCATTTGAGCGGGGGGCTTTTTTTAGCATCCTGCCTCCGCTCAGGTCTCCATGGATGATGAAGGGAACATCAGCTGGACTCTGCCACTTTCTGGGTCAAGGAGAAAGCGTCTGAGTGGAATTTCATTTGTTGGGGCGGGGTGTGTGTGTGTGTGTGTGGGGGTTTGCTCTAACAGCGAAACACAATTAAGCAAGTGCGCTGCATTGTTGTTTTTAGCTGCACACATCATCGTGGGTGCGGCTGTCATCAAAACGGACAGAAAACATTATCTAAGACCAAAGGAATGTGGTGCACGCTTGAACGCGTTAGTCGAAGTGAAGGACAGAGAGCCGCAGCGGGGAGACAGCGCCCCCTGGGGGCACATGGGGGGGGGGCAAGCCGTTCCTGTCACCACGCACTCTCGTTAAGGTGCGCGTCGGCCCCGGGTGACAGGTGGTGCACAGCA